TAAGTGGTCCACTGATTAAAATATAGTGGTGGTAAGGGGCACTTGTTAGATCCTGTGGGACAGAAGCGTTAAATATACCATTCACACAGGCATGCAACCAATTCCACATGGCTCTAAGCTGCTACCACTGATGTAGGAAGGTTAGTAGAACGATTCTGAGCAAAGAGATTCTCAGAGTTCCACCACTGTGCCACTACTACAGCTTAGAGATATTGAAATGGTTATGTTGTTCTTGTTGTTTAGTCATTTAGTTGTGTCCGACTCTTCGTGACCCCATGGACCGGAGCACGCCAGGCCCTCTTGTCTTCTACTGCCTCCCACAGTTTGGTCAAACTCATGCTGGGAGCTGCGAGAACACTGTCCAACCATCTCGTCCTCTGTCGTCCCCTTCTGCTTGTGCCCTCAATCTTTCCCAACATCAGGGTCTTTTCCAAGGAGTCTTCTCTTCTCATGAGGTGGCCAAAGTATTGGTGCCTCAGCTTCATGATCTGTCCTTCCAGTGAGCACTCACGGCTGATTTCCTTCAGAATGGATAGGTTTGACCTTCTTGCAGTCCATGGGACTCTCAAGAGTCTCCTCCAACACCATAATTCAAAAGCATCAATTCTTCGGCAATCAGTCTTCTTTATGGTCCAGCTCTCACTTCCATACATCACTACTGGGAAAACCATAGCTTTAACTATATGGACCTTTGTTGGCAAGGTGATGTCTCTGCTTTTTAAGATGCTGTCTAGGTTTGTCATTGCTAGGCAGGCGTCTTTTAATTTCGTGACTGCTGTCACCATCTGCAGTGTTCATGGAGCCCAAGAAAGTAAAATCTCTCACTGCCTCCATTTCTTCCCCTTCTATTTGCCAGGAGGTGATGGGCCCAGTGGCCATGATCTTCGTTTTTTTGATGTTGAGCTTCAGACCATATTTTGCGCTCTCCTCTTTCACCCTCATTAAAATGCTTATAGTTGCTTTTAAATAAAATAAATACTCTTAAGGTGCTATGGGGTGGGAGTGGAGAGTTTTCTACATCTCCTACAATCTACAATTCTAGTTGGAAAAAGAAAACCAATTCTTTTACAGGGTAGGCAGTTCAGGTCACAGGGGTAAAAAGTACATTCAAAGACATTGCAGCATGCTTTTTTGGTTGATTACCATAGATGTTGGAAATTATACATTTTCTCCTTGATGCATATTCAAATCTCAATCCAGGTTCTATTCATGGAAAAATGGTTCATTTTCTTAGCACTCATGACTTCCCACAAATTTAGATCATACAGATGGCACACAGAGGCATTGTTTGCATGCACACGGATTTTCTTTTCCATGAGATACTAATCAGTATATTTTGCTTCACCCATCTGTTCCTTGTTGAATATTAAGAGGCTCTACCTAGCCACTGCCGCTATAAAAGAAGGCAAATGTGCTTTGCTCCAGTTCCCCCTGCAATTAGCATGGTGTAAGAAACTAAAGAGCAAACATCACAAAGCCCAACACTGAACTATGATAAATCATAATGCTTCTGAGTTGCAAAAAGCAATAAAGGTGTCATTGCTTCTTAATGATACATAGATAAGAGAAAAAGAAGTTTATTAAGACTGCAGTCTAAACACATTGAAGCCTGAAGAAGAAGTCAATGCAGTCCATATTACAGCCATATACGGGGTGTTATGTTGATATAATGGGAATATGGGTATGCTTGCATCCAGAGAAAATCTATAGGACTTGAATTCAAGTTAAAAAGGGGCATAGTTATACATAACACTCTTGAGACTGCATCTGAGCACCACAGTCAAGTGAATAGTAATTTGAATGGGGCAAAAGGCTTTCCTGAAGTGGATTGCCATGACTATAGACGTAAGAAGTTGCTTTGCAGAAATGTGCAGGGTGTAATATGAGGTAGCCTAAACTTGCCCCTTGAGGGGGCGTGATCATGTGATGTGTCACGTGATGCATCATATGATGCCACCCAGCGTGTGGTGGGCAAGGGTGGGATGCGCGGAGGCTCGTCCCAGCCCCCCAGCCCCCGGGCTGCCAGGCTGCTGGGCTGTGGCTGGAACAAGCAAAGCAAATATCTCCTGCGCTCATCCCAGCCACTGCCTGGCTCCTGGGCTGCCAGGTGGAGGTTGGGGCTGGGGCATGCAGAGGGTGCCCAGCAGGGGGTGGGCGGCCCTCTCAGTATGGGGGGTGCTGCCCCCTGCCCAAAAATATTGGGGGAGCTGAAGCCCCCTCCTTCCCCTCTACCTGACACCGCTGGCCTGAAGCGTGTTGTCCAGAGGGGTCAGAGGTTCCCGCAGAATCCCCTTTTCCTTCTTGACAATCATCTGTTCAGTGACAGTGGGAATACCACAAACATCTGGACAAATGTGTTTAGGATGGGGATGATTAGGCTTAAATGACTCCAACCATCACTAAGTTTCCAAGTAATAAATTACAGCCAAGTCTGCAACACATTTACCCAAAGTAGGGATTGGCAAATAGGACACTTTTTCTACCTCTCCATTTCTCATTTTTCCAGTGGAGAAGTTCAGTTCTTCACATTTCCACATGAGTTTGCATTTTATTTTATTTTTTAAGTATCATGAAACTTAACCAGCATTTTTGCATGGATTTTCTTCTAATGTACACTTTTGCATGCAATTCTGCCCAATATACCCATTTTTATTTTTATTTTGAGCAAGCCAATTTCTCCACAGTACAACACATTGTTCTAAGTTACTTTCAGATTTTGTGTGTGTTTTATTCTGCATTTTTGTACTTATTACTTTGCTGAATTGCATTGCAAACTTCATAGAACTCTCAAGTTCAACCAATAATTGTGTTTCAGTCCTTGCATTGTAATGGAAATTATGAATTAGGTGCATAGCTTCTCCTTTAAATGTGAACCAAGTCAAATTTCTTCCCCATCCCTAGCCTTAAATATTAAGTTGGTTTTTCACCTCATTCTCCATTTTGATTGATCCACTATGCATTCAGTCTTGCTTCTCAGTAGTGTGCCCAGGATTACAACCTTAAGGCTATTGCATAAAAAACAAAGCTAGCACTCTTCTGGACTGCATTCAGCAGAGAACTACAATGAATTCTTATTCCCAGGTGACCAGAACTTTATGATACCCATTGCATTCACACAACTACTGTATATTTGCAGGCATACCTTGAAAACATCTTAGGTAAAAAGTAATGTCTGGTATGGTTCATCCTGTACTGAGATTATTCATTTGAGAATAAACAAATCAGTTAGCCTTGTTAATGGAGGTTCTGTTGACCATTGTGCGTTGTGTGTGTGCTTTTTTTAAAAAGGCCATGTTGCTGATCTTTATATGCGTGTTGTTAAGGAACAAGCATTCTACCAATGACGCACCAACCACCAACAGGAAAGGCATGCTAAGTGTATTTTGTGACTCATTTCAATTTGCTATCTAGTGCACTCACAGTTTGCTTATTAGCCTCAGCGTCAGTAACTAATGGATACTCAGTAGGAAGCAATTTTTCATCATGAATGTTTGATGGAGAAATGGAAATGGAAATTGGGAAGATCTAGTCAATGGCAAATCATATAAAGGCTGGCTAAAAAAGGAGCATACTTTGCGTGTGTGTGTAGACAGAAAGTTATTTTAAACATTTTAGCCCCCTTCCTTGAAATATTTTGCTATTCAACACAAAACCATCTATATATGTGAGATGAGTCAGAGAAAGACAGAGATAAGGAAGAAATGTGTGGTCAAGCATATTAAGCTGTAATACCACAGAGATAGCTTTCTATAATAATAATTTTAAAAAGCAAAAGAGAAAGGGCAGAAGCTTGTGCCCCATCTGAGTTTGCAGCAACTCGTTCCAGACAGAAGAGGAGCATGCAGTTCCTGTTAGTGCCTCCTCCACCAATGGAAGCCCCCGCTCCACCCTAATACTAATTGACATGCAGGGAGGGAGGAGTTACCAAGACCCTGCCCTTAAAACTCACCTCTCCATATGCCACAGTGCAAATGACTCACACCCTCTGACTCTCACAAGTTCCTGAGGACCACGCTCCCGTGTGGGGGGAAAACTTTCAAGGGTCACATGGCTGTGGTGGGCAGAGCCAAAGGCAAAAGTTGACATAGCAATGAATGTGGTTCTTAGTTCTGTGCAGCAGGCTATATTCTGGTCACACAAAGTCAGAGGTTTCTACACGCACCAACGCACCCTCTAAGAACATCTTCCGAAGCAAGCAAGAGGCTTTGAGGTTCTTTGACAATCAAGCAGGGTATAGATGTTATGAAATAAATAAATAAAATGGTCACAGTTCAAGGACACAGTCCTACCATGGAAAAGCACTCAAGGAGGGTGTGCCGTGCTGGTGAGGGATGCAGCCTGGGGAGAAGAATGGCCTAGGGAGGGGAATTGCCTGGGAAGAGTCCCGAGGGCCAAAGAGAGGTGCCGGGGGCCACATTTGACACCCATACTGGGCCTGAGGCTACGCACCTTTGCACCACATGATAGCTAATCACACAATTTATGTATTGCGTGACTGAGGAATTCTGTAGGAACCAAAGTTAAATTTGTAAGCTCTGTTACATCATATTGTGTGCTTTACCTATTTGAACTCCTTGTGGCAACCTCCCTCAAGAAAGGAGGGAGCTAGTTAACATGGCTGGATTTGAGCATTTTAAGATCTAGACATTTCCTTATCAGTAACACTTGAGAGGTATCTAAACACACTCATTGAGGGTTCCAGCTTAATGATGACTCTGATAAGGAACAACATTGTGTTTCAGTCAAAACTTTTCACAGAGATAATTAAAAACTTTACTTAAATCTCTCACTTTAACCTGCTTCTGAATAAACTGTTGCCTCCTAGAATGGCTATTTTGTTCTACTAAGTCAGTAAAGCACTCCCAGTCCCTTCCAGGGTCTTTAGTTTCCCCTCAGGGTAGTCATCTGGTTTGCCCTGCCTAGGCACTTTCTAAGCTCCATCTGACAGTTTAACTGTCGGGCTCTAACTTTTAACTGCCTCCAGAATGGATGACACACCACCTCGGTCTGATCGCTTCTGGGTCTTCAGGAGGCAGACCCAAGGCCCGTCCATCACACTCCAGTTAACATTACACTATTTGTGTTTTAATAGGCCTGAGCTTCAATAAGTCTGCCAAAGGTGGTTGAAGGGCTTGCTTTGCCTGTGTTTAATGGATTTTTTTATACTATTTTAATTCTATTAGTGTTTAATTACACCTTTTCTATGTTTTTAGCTTGTTCTGTTTTATCTGTGGGAAAGGCATGATGATGATGATGATGATGATGATGATGATGATGTGTTTTAGAAGATGTGACCAACATAACATATTTATATTAATTTATTAAATAAATAAATAAATTTATTAAATAAATAAAATTAAATAAATAATTTATTAAATTAATTTATTAAATAACTAAATCCATTCTTAAGGAAATCAGCCCTGAGTGCTCACTGGAAGGACAGATCGTGAAGCTGAGGCTCCAGTACTTTGGCCACCTCATGAGAAGAAAAGACTCCCTGGAGAAGACACTGATGCTGGGAAAGATGGAGGGCACAAGGAGAAGAGGGCGACAGAGGACGAGATGGTTGGATAGTGTTTTCGAGGTTACCACCATGAGTTTGACCAAACTGCGGGAGGTAGTGGAGGACAGAGGTGCCTGGCGTGCTCTGGTCCATGGGGTCACGAAGAGTCGGACACGACTAAATGACTAAACAACAACAAAATTAAATAAATATAACAGTAGTGGTAGCAGTGATTGGGGTAGTAGTAGTAGTAATAACAACCACAAGAATTTATCTGTAACTTGGATTACTATTTCCTCTTCCAGCTCTATGTGCTTTTCAAGACTTTGATTAATTCTACTATAACCACTTTTGATAAAGGTCCTTTAGAAAAGTTAAATCTGTGTGTGCACTCTTTCTGTCTCTCTATGAGGAATAGAAGTGGCCAGCAGCACTTCCTCAAAAATCCAAAAACATCCACAGGCCTAAATAGGTTGGTGATCCCTGCAATGAAGTGTTTAATTAATCACTTTGCCTGCCTAGGCTTCTGTTGGTCTGTGCGGTTTCATGCACATGTCTGCCAGAATACAGTAACCAAATGGCTTAGGGGGAGCCATTAATTAGTGTGATCTTTTAGCAGAGTACCGAGTAAGGCCAAGGAGTTGTACGCACAGCCAATTTTAATGACTTTGCATGATCTGCCCCAAAGGATAATTCCAGAAAACCTACGTCATGCCAATCATTTAAAAAATGACATTGCATCTATAAAAATGAATGATCCTGGCATTTGATTATTTATAATATTTGGAGGGGGGAAACAATGTCAGTCTAATGCCCATTACAAAGCACTGCGATATGTTAAAGCACTGCTGTTGCAACCTTTCACATTATGACACCCATGAAAGAAGAGGAGCTCTGACATTTGAAAGGAAACGACCAGCTGCAGGTGTACGGCTGAAGCCGACCATTATTCATTCTACTACCAAAGATGACCCTCCAACACTACTGTTATTTTTTCAAACTATATTATAATCAGGACAGCAAGGATTAATGCTGTTTGACTGCAAGGTCATCCCATGGGCAGGTGCTAGATAATATTTGTCCACCCACACACACACACAGACACAATCCTTGTCCTCTTCAACTTCCTTCCTGTTACAGCTCAGAATCAGAAATTAATCATTTAGAATTGTATTATACTGTTTGCTGATGTGTTCTTTTTCCTTTTTTCAAGTGGAGATTAGGGGAGATTATGCAGTAATATAAGCAAACCGGTTTTCACAGGTCATTTTTAATACTGGGTAGAGCTACCTGTTCATTTCCAGCACCATTGTAATCGAAAGCCGGTAGATCTGTTCCCATTGACTACAGATTTAGCGTACAGCCAAAGTGGTTTTTGACATGACTGGAAGCACTGCCAGCCAGTTGGGCCAGTCACTGTTAGAAGGGGTGTACATGTCACTTCCTGCCAGTTTGCATAGGGTTGGTGGGACTTCCTAAAATGTTCAAAGTAATTGTCACACAGCTCTAATTATAGAGCTCAGTCCTTCCGTTTCAGTACCTCTTAGACTCACAACGGGTTGACTCCAGTTAGCTTCTACTCAGAAGTAGACCCATTGAAATTAATGGACCTTAGTTAGTTATAGTCATTAATTTCAGTGGGTAAACTCTGAATGTGACTAACATTGCACCCAATGCAAGTGCAACAGAAGAAAGAGAAGATAGTGAGACAGGAGGATTAACCTAAAAATAAATAATAAAAAACAGATGTGTTTTTGATTCAATGCCCTTTCAAAATGTGTTTGGTGGGGTTTACTGGGTTGTTTTTGTTTTTGTTTTTATTATGTATTTTGTGTTTTTATATTGTGCTTTTGTCCTGTGAATCGTCCTGAGACCTGCAGGTATAGGGTGGTATGCAAAATTTAATAATAATAGTAATAGTAATAGTAATAGTAATAATAATAATAATAATAATAATAATAATAATAATAATAGTTTCCGCTTTTTGCTTCCGGAAATGGATCTTACATTGTACACAGTCAAACACACACACATGCCTGAAGCCGAAACCAAATGCTAATTCCCTGCTACGGAAAATGCTTTAAAAGATCTTGTTGCACCATTCAGGCTGCAGTCCTGAACACATTTATTGGGAGTAAGCCCAATTTAATACCTTAAGCTTTCATTCTAAGTAAAAATGAATGGGATTGTATTATTATTATTATTATTATTATTATTATTATTATTATACATTTGTATAATTTTGTATATTCAGTATATTAAATATCAGCTGATGCAGATATTAAAGGGTAAACCCAATTGCAGACCAAAACTATTCTGGCATTTGATTTTTAGCAGTGTCAGCACAGAGACTTCCATCTTCCCAAACAATGGAGCTCTAATGGTTAGTGTGCACTACCACTCTGGCTGTGTGCGCCATTTTGTTCTCTTTGCTTATGGCAGGAAATGGTGACATTGGGCTTGTCCAACTTTCTCCTGCAGTTGCATGCAACATTCAGCTTCTACTCATGGTAGAGAATCATCCCCCATTTTCAGGCTGGTTCCACAACAGAGGAAAGTATGTCGTAGTCATTAGAGTATGGCTGGAGCCAATGAGAATGGCTCCCACCACTTCTGAATGCACACTAATGCATGAAAGAATCAAACTGACAGTACAAGAAGCTCATGTGCAGTCCTATCCTTTATGAGACTGACGTTTCTTCCTGATTTCCCAAGCTTACTAGAAACTTCTAAGGTAACACAGATTAGGGCCCAAGTCTTTACATAGGAATATAATATCAACTTGATTGGGTCAACCAAAATCCTGTCATCCAAGACTGAGAATACTGGTTGCTGAGAGGAAGCATGTAATAAAAAAAACCAGCATGTTCTAATTTCCATCCTTCGCTCTGAGCATTTGGCAGTCTAATGCTTAGAGATGTTGTCATCAAGGTGCCCAAAGCCACAAGCCTTCAGGTTCAAACAGAGCCACATCAGAGCCCACCAGAGCACCTGGGAATTTCCAGAGATGGCATGAAGGGAAGGCTTCCCCTAAACTGTGCAGTCCAGCTGAAATGTGCTCTTAGACTTTGACCCATGATGAACAGTGAGATGGAAAAAGAAAGCATGCTGCAGAAGAAATTAAACCTTCAGCAGTTCTTAAACAACCTTAGCTAGGCGATGCTGAAGCTAAGGAAATATGCTCAATTTAAATAATGCTTCTTTAAGTTATTGTTTTAAAATGTTTACGCTTCATTCTGCCCTGCAGCTGTAAATAAGAAAGAACTTTCAGGCCACCAGACTTTTAAAAGTTTGGAAGTTTGGCCAAGAGAGTATATCGGACAAGGTAGTTTTCCATGCACATTACAGGCAATGGCCAGGAAATGAAACACCTGTGGAAGGCCAGACCCCCTTTTCTTCTTCTTTTTTGCTGAAGGCATAGGGATGGCATGGGAATTAATTTGGTTTGTATTTTTATGCAGATTTGCCAAATTCACCCTTCCTGAAAAAGTGCCCCAATCCTTGGAAATTCACACCTCTCTGAATTTTGTAGTGTGTTTCTCCTACTCCAGAAAAAAGTGTGTGAAGCTGCTTGTGTGAATTTTGTAGTGTGGAAGGCAGCCCTGTTCAGGGAAGCTTTTAATGTTTGATGTATTATGGTATTTTAATATTTTGTTGGAAGCCACTCAGAGTGGCTGGGAAAGCCCAGCCAGATGGGTGGGGTATAAATAAATTATTACTATTATTATTATTATTATTATTATTATTATTATTATTATTACTTTTATTACTATTATTATTATAATATAAGAAAGAGCAGAGGGCCAGCTTAGAGCTTGGGAAAGGACTTCTGATTTTGGGGTTCTGATTTTGGCAGGATTTGCTGCAGACAGGAGTGTTATGTGCCTCTGCCATGCTCACCTTCCATATTTTTGAATACAGTAAATCCAAGCATGAAAAACTGCTGTAGCTCTCCAGTGACCCTCTTGCTGAAAGGAACCCAGTCTAGATAAGCACACACTCTCTCTGAAGCTTATTTCTACCTAGGGACAGTGAAGCAATATGTCAGCGACTATCTGGGCACAGAAACAATATCTGAAGAATATTCAACAGCAAAAAAAAAAAGTTACAAAAGGAACATTTTGTAGAATTTCTGAAAACAAATCATTTTCGGGCCAGCCAGCAGACTTCCTGGCAGAGCTAATAAATTTCCTGTTGGCTTTCAGTGACCAGATGTAATCCCTGTAGTGTATCAGAGGCCTGGCTGGAGGCAGAGAGCAAGAAGTGGCAACAGCAAGTGTGGTTGAAGGTGGGAACGGTGCCAGCAGAGGGAGGGAGACGAATGGCAGGCGCTGTCCTTCTTTGGCCTGTGACCACATAGGCCACAAGCTGCACACTTCTAAGCCCCATTAATTTCAACAGGAGAGTTAAGGATGTGTTGAAGTCTTTCCCATTGAAATACATAGGATATAAAACTGCTCGGAAGGCTGCTAATAAAAACTACATGGATTTTGGGCTCAGGTTTGATGAATTTGGCCACTCCTAGCAAGGACATTGCATTTACTGAAAAGGTTTTAGAAAAGACAGCATAGATTTATATGAGAATTTAGTTTAGTCACCCGCTGTATACAAGGACA